TGGAATGTCAGAGCCAAGGGAAAGTTCCTGCCATAGGGGACAAAATAGTGCCTATTGGCATAGCAGGAAAGGTAGCTGTTAGAGTCCAATAGACCCAGACCTATCAACAGAAAGATTCATTAGCTGAAATAGTTCTCGGCTCTATGAAAAAAAAAAAAAAAGAAAAGAAAAAGGAAAAAAAGAAAGAGGTTATTGTATAGCTTTAAGAGAACATAGTTGTTTCTTTAGAAGCCACTCGGAATCATTAGAAATAATCTAACTGCACTACAGGAAAAAATTGAAAAAAAAAATGGGGACCTAAGATTAAGTAAATACCTGGTACCAGTCTCATTTTCAGGTGCCTCCTCCTGGATAGTAACTCTGATGTCAACCATCACAGGGTGTTTGGCCCTTCTGCCTTTGTTAATTGCTGTTAGCTCTTACAGCATTGATGCCTCAACTAAGTGATAATTCCTGTCTGGGTACCATTAAACTGATGGTTATTAGATCACAATGTAAACATGGACCCATCAAAGAGTCAAGGATTTCACTCAGGATACAGTTCAAGATGGGGAATTAAGATCCAACATTACATTTTAAGTTTTAATTCCTATGCCTAAGAGATCCATTAAACAAAATGATGCCTCTGATCTGCAAGCTCCTTGCCCAAGGACAGAGAGTTCCTGAAATGCTAGAGGCTGTTGTTTATTGGACAGGTAGACCAATGGAATCGAATTGAAAATCCTGATATTAATCCACGCACCTATGAACACCTGATTTTCGACAAAACAGCTAAAATTATACAATGGAGCGAGGACAGCATCTTCAACAAATGGTGCTGGCACAATTGGATGAGACTGCAGATAGACCCATGTCTGTTGCCATGCACAAAACTCAAGTCCAAATGGATCAAAGACCTCAACATCAATCCAGCCACATTGAACCTCTTAGAAGAGAAAGTAGGAGGTACCCTTGAACAAATTGGTATAGGAGACCGCTTCTTGAACATAACTCCAGGGGCACAGACATTAAGATCAACAATTAATAAATGGGACCTCTTCAAACTTAGAAGCTTCTGTAAGGCAAAGGACACAGTCAACAAGACCAAACGGCAGCCCACAGACTGGGAAAAGATTTTCACCAATCCTATATCCGACAAAGGGCTGATCTCCAAAATACACAAAGAACTCAAGAAATTAGTCAACAAAACACCAAATAACCCTATTAAAAATGGGGTACAGAACTGAAGAAAGAATTCTCAATAGAGGAAATCAAAAAGGCTGAAAGACACTTAAAATGCTCTACATCCTTAGCTATCAGGGAAATGCAAATCAAAACAACTTTGAGATACCATCTTACCCCTGCCAGAATGGCTAAAATTAGAAACACCAGAGATGACTTATGTTGGAGAGGATGTGGAGAAAGGGGAACACTCCTCCACTGCTGGTGGGAGTGCAAACTCATACAGCCATTTTGGAGATCAGTATGACGGTTCCTCAGGAAAATGGGAATTAGTTTACCACAGGACCCGGAAATCCCCCTCTTAGGCATATACCCAAAGGAATCACATCCATGCAACAAAGACATCTGTTCAACTATGTTCATAGCAGCACTATTTGTAATAGCAAGAACCTGGAAGCAACCTAGATGCCCCTCAATTGAAGAATGGTTAATGAAGATGTGGCACATCTACACAATGGAATACAACTCTGCAGAAAAAAAAATAATGGTATCTTGAAATTCGCAGGCAAGTGGATGGCACTTGAAGAAACCATCCTGAATGAGGTAACCCAGTCAGAAAAAGAGGAATACAGTATGTACTCACTCATATATGGATTTTAGACCTAGATCAAAGGATCACCAGCCTATAATTCACATCACCAGACGAACTAGGATACAAGGTGTATTCTAAGAGATTCATATAAAGTCCCTCACAGAACTGGGAAGGGACAAGTCCCCCAGAGCTCAGGTGAAGTGGGGGGGGGCAGTGAATGGAGAGAGAAGTAGGAGAAAATGAGGGGGAGGAAAGGAAAACATGTGTGACCAGGATGATTGAGCCTGGTTAGGAATAGAAGATAGGAAAGAGAGAGAGAGAGACAGAGACAGAGAGAGAGAACATAAAAGAGGGAGCCAATATTGGTTTGAAGATAAAATTGAACACAAAGAAAGTTCTAGAGAACTACAAGACTGCTCCCAACTAACAATTTGAGCTTCCGTGAAAAGGCTATCATAAATGCCCTTCCCTGAGAGTGAGATCAACAACTAACTTATCCATGGAGCCTTCAACTAATGCCTGTTGGAAACAGGATCAAACACCCATACATAAACACTGAGTCGAACTAGAACCCAGATGCAGATGGAGAGGACAAGACCATGTGGCAGAAACACATACAGACAGCTTACCTGAACAAGGAGGAGCTAACGGGCCACTAGACTGATAGCTGGGAAGCCATCATGGGACTGACTCAGGCCCCCCTGAATATTGGTCTCAGCCAGAAGGACTGAGCAATCTAAGAGACCTCAGACAGTGGAGCCAGGATGTATCCCTGGTGCACAAAAGGACTTTGTGAACATATCCCCCATGGAGGGATAACTGCCTTAATCTAGAGACAGGAGAGAAACCCTCGTCCCTACTTCACAGGACCTGTCAGATCTACATGACCCCAACTGGATGGCATTCCCCTACATATGTAATTGGGGTGGGGGGATGGGAGGGGAGGGTGTTTAGAGTGCATGTGAGAGGGCAGAGAGGGTAAAAGGGAGGAAAGGAGGGAAGGAGGGATGGGGAGAGGGAGGGAGGAGAGGAAGGAGGGAGGAAGGGAGGGAAGGAGGGAGAGGGAACTGGGATCGACATGTAAAATAAGAAATTAAATTTAAAAAATGCTTTGACTCCAAAATTTAAGTTGAAGGACAAGTTACTGGGGAAAAGTATTTCTATTTTTGTTTCCACAGAAAATGAAAAGATGTGGATTCCTTCCAGACTAATGTGGTTTGATCAAGCCAGACCGCCTGAAACAGAGTACAAGCTGATCCTACATTCAAAACAGCTGGACAAAACAGCCCTACAGACTACAGCCAGGATATCTGAATCTTCTTCGAATCCCCCAAGACAGCGCCCCTTACCAGCAGGAAGTAGTTTGGAAAGAACGACACCCAAATTCCCAAATATTGTGTATAAATGTTTGTTTTCATTAATTAAACTTTGTTATATAAAATTAAATAAAATAATAATAAAAAAAAAGAAGAGGGTGAGGGACTTTAAGGCAGGTCAGGACTTAACACTGATTGTCACCTTGTGCTGCCTCTTCGAGCTACCATAGAAGCATTGATATAGGGATGGGACTAATGGCTGCTGTAGGTCAGGGTTGTCTCCTTTGTTCTGGAAAGGAGTCTAATGGCTGATAATCCTAAAATCATGAATTTAGCTTACCTCTAATTGGCCTGGTTAGCATGTTACATTTCTGAGGTATTTTCTGGAGGTGGCTTCCCTTAGCTATATTCTGCTTTACGTGGTTTACTATCTCCTAAGTAAATCTATTAGTGAAGCATTAATAATCAATTCTATTGCTTAGAGTTTCTTTTACATCACCCCTACCTCTCCAGCTCCCTCAGTAACCCTTACCCTGCATGGAAACTGCCCGGTCTCTTTTCTTTTATGTTCCATGTGTCCTTTTAGCTATGGTTATAGTGTGGATATAAGGATTCAGGCATTATGCTGGCCTGCCCCTGTCACCTGGCAGAATGCACTCAGGTAGTGCCCTGGTCAACCCAGCATGCAGGTGCAAAGGACCCCTTTAAAAGAAAGACCCCACCCACTTGCTCTCTCTTTCCTGATAGTCCCCTGGGGCAGACAGGACTTTTCCTGTCTCCCTCTTCTCTTCTGTCCTCTCTCTGTCTCTGTGTCTCTTTACCTCTGTTCTCTTTCCTCTCCCCTCCCCCACCCTCCCTCCCCTTTCTAATAAAACTTCTCACTAAGCTCTGTCTTCCTGGCATGTTTGTCCCCAGCCTCAGTGACCCTGGCCTGCCATGGAATCCGTCAAGGTCCCCCACACACTTTATCATAACTGTGTGTATGTACAAGTGTGTGTGTGTGTATGTACAAGTGTGTGTGTGTGTGTGGTGTGTGTGTGTTACATATACATGTTGTATAAGTGTGTGCATAAGGCTTATATCAGTGTCAACTTCCATCTAGTCCATCTTATGTTTTGAGATAGGGTCTCTCAGTGAACCTGAACTTATCATTTTTGACTAGGTTTGTGGAACAATGAGCTCCACGCTCATCCGGCCTCCACGCCCCACAATACTGGAGACACCGGTGTGTGCTGCCACGTGTGGCTTTTTACTTGAGTGCTGAGATCTGCACTCAGATCTTCGTGCTTGTGAAGCAAGCACTTTACCCAGTGAGCCACCTCACCAGCTTGGTTTTTCAAAATTCTACAATTCTGACATATCTAGTGAGCTTTTTATTTCCTCCTTGGGACTGTTGGATTCCCCTAAAGAGGCGGATTGCCTCTGTTCGAATCCCAGGTTCACCATGACCAGCTGTGTGATTGTTATTCGACGGTTACCTAATCTGGTTATGCAGTTTCTCAGCTCCCACTTTGTGGGAAGTTTGAGGACTGAGTCCACCAGCAGTCTGCTGTCCTGACAGCAGCAGGCACTCAATTGACAGAAGCATGGGGATAGCAAAGTCAGCAAGCTGTCCAGGAATCAAGAGCCAGCAAAGCAAGAGCGCCTAGATTAGAGAAAAACTTGGAAGATGGAGTGATGTTCTCTTAACTCAGCATACGTGGAAAGGGTATAACAAAGAGGATTCATTGTATAAGCTATTGACTTTGAAAAGGCACCCATAATTTGACACCATGAACATACGAGATTTTTATGCTATGGAACCCCAAACTTTACAACCTCTCCCTTAAAAAAGAAACCTAAACCTTTAGTTATCTGGCACAAGATAGGCCGTGTGAAAGGTGCAGTCCCTCCCTCAGGCTCTTCCGCAATTCATGGGCTTCCTTTTTTCCCCTTCCTGAATGAAAGGACACTTAAAGAACACCAGGGGATAAAAGCTGTGGTCTCCAGCAGTCCCCAGCACCAGGGGACAGTGGTGACGATGAGTGACTCCACAGAAGCCAGGATGCAGCAGCTGGTTTCTGTGGGTGAGGCTGGGCTGGCATTGTGCGAGCATGGTGAGGGAAAGCAGAGGGGGTGGCTTGGAGTTGAGCCTGCCCAGGCTCTGACTGATACTGTGTTCCCTCAGAGGATGAAGAGTGGATGGTCAGTGATACCAGGTGCTCTAATAAAAGCTCCAGACTACGACCAAATTCTGGAATCAAGAGTTTGTCAGGTACAGCAGGGCGAGGGCCTGAGGGAAAGTGAAGAGCCTTCCTCAGAATGGGTCTTAAAGAGAGAAGGCTAGGACTCTACACTTCTGTTTCCTGGGGAGACAGAGGCTAGGGCAGGGAATGGTGGGCCACCATGAAGGCTGGGGCGGGTGGCTAGGGGAGAGATGGCATGCTGTGGGAAGAGAAGGCGACAGAAGAGAATCATGGGCCATGGGGAAGTGGAGACTTGGATAGGGAAACCTGGGTCATAGTAAAGTGGAAGTTGGGACAGGGCATTGAGGGTCCTGAGAAGATAGACAGAACAGCTAGAAATTAAGGGTCTTGGGGAAATCGAAACTAAGGTAGGGAATTGGGTGTGAGGAGGGGTGGAGGATGAAGCAGAAAATCACAGGCTATGAGGAGACTGAGGCCAGGGAATGAAAGCATGGGCCATGTGGAGGTAGACTCCGAGAGTCTGGATTCATCGCTGGTGGCAGAAGGATGCTGGTACCTGTTCTGGAATCAGCATAAGGTAGGGACATCATCATACTTAGAAGTCCACTTTTTCTCTGGCAGGACGCCTGGGACGCTACCAAATCCCCTTGGTCCTGCAGCTGCTGTCCTTCCTGTTTCTGGCTGGGCTCCTGCTGGTCATTCTTGTCCAAGGTCAGGCACAAGGGAGGCCTCCGCTCTCTCACCAGGCTCTTCAGGTCATGAAGGGAAGGGGGGAGTGCAAGTGTGTGGCATGTCCTCTGAGGGTGTCCTCATCTCTGGTGTTGGACAGAATGAGCAAAGAGACATGGACGGATCCCAGATCCTGGATCCATTTGTTCTTATGGTTCAGCTTTTTCTAAGTGGTAGGTTTTCTAGTCTTCTAACCGGGTTAAGGAAGACATTAGTAAGAAACTGTCCTTGACTCTGGGGTACTGACATGTGCCTATACTTCCATCTCAAAAAAAAAAAAATTAAAAATGACACAATGTCTCAGAGAATCCAGTACATGACTTGGCACACAGAGGGAATTTAATAATGAAACTCTTTTCCCCTTCCTCATAGTTTACAAGACCCCAAACACCCAGGGGCAGGAAGAATCCAAATGTGAAGAGTACCAGGAACTGACCCAGATGACTAATAAACTCTGTGAGTGACCAAAAACCAGAAGTGCTGGTGCTTCAGGAGGGTTCCATGGGAAAGGGGTCAATTTTCTTAAATTGTCAGATCTCTTTGAGGTTCAGGTCTCTCCTCTGTGAATTGAGACCACAGGAAAACAATTTTAAAAAATGATACTTGGTACTTACCAGAGGCTGTATACACAGTAAGCAATGTTCACAAGGGCCCTGTACATAATAGGCATTCAGGGTCCCCAGAGGACATGCACATATTGGCGTGCACACAACAGACACTACATGTTCACTGGGGTCATCCACATATGAATTTAGTGTTCACAAGGCCCGTGGAACCAGTGGATAGTCAATTAAATAATTCTCTTGGTCTTTGCCCTGATTGCTAGGCTCCAATTCTCCCAGTCTGGGGGATAATATAGGGGCCTCCTGGGATTGGGGCAGGGGAGGAAGCATGGAGAGAGAAATGGCTTCCCAGAATACTCTGTCACCCTAGAGGGCCCGAGGGTTGAACAGAAAAAGAACGTGGACATCCAAGTGTGGCTTCATCCTGAGCTGCCCCTTCCTGGGACCAGACTGTCTTCTGGGTGTTCAGTTTTCCACAGAGAAGATTAAACAAGACATCAATAAGAAACTGTCCTGGGTGCTGGAGTGGTAGCACCCTTCTGAGCTACTGGGAAGCTAAGGGAGGGATGGTCGTTTATCCACAGGAGTGTGAAAAGCACTACACCAAGTGAGACTTATCTCCAAAATAAAATGGCACATGGCTGGTGCAGTAGCTTAGCAGGTAAAAGTGCTTTGCTTCCAAGACTGGTGATGGGAATTCAACCCCTCAAACTTGCATGGTGGAAAAAGAGAGCTGACTCCTACAAGTTGTCCTCTGACTTCCATGCACACACACACACACACACACACACACACACACTTTAAAATGACACAATGTCCCTGAAGAACCACTGCAAATTGTGGCATACAGTAGGTATTTAGTAACATCGTGGTTTTTTTTTTTTTTTTCTTGGCACAGTGTCCAAGATCCCCACTGCCCAGGGGCAGAATGAGTCCATGAAGGAGATTTCTGAGCAGCTGACACAGCTGAAGACTGAACTCCGTGAGTGAGAAACCAGAGGTCCAAGGCCTTGGATCTCTGTAGGCAGTCAATTTTCTTGGGCCATCTGAGTCTCAGTTTCCTCATCTGCGGAGTAAGATCACAGAGTAGCTACAAGGATAACATGTGCTGGCTAGAGGGACTGTGCACACGGTGGGCACTTGAGTTTGAAGAGGTTGTACACGGCGTGGGCACTCAATGCTCACAAGCGCCATACATATACCAGGCTCTTAATGTTCAGAGGCTCCTAATGTTCATATACACAGTGTGAACTCAATGTTCAAAGTGCTTTAGATATTCAACTAAGCCAATCTCTTGGTGTCCAAATGCCCGGAGCTCTAAGTCTATTCCTTCTAGGCAGAGGAAATAGATGAGGACTCTTGGGCTTTCCTTGGGAAGGATTTGGGAAGCAAAGAAGATAATAGTTCCCCCAGAGTACTGTGTTGAGGGAAGATCTTCACTCTGGAGAGTCCAAAGGTTGAGCAGAAAAAGGACATGGGCATCTAAGTGTGAGTTCATCCTGACCCACCCTTCCCTGGGATTAGACGCCCTTCTAGGTGTTTAGTTTCTCAGTCTCCAAAGAAGATTAAACAAGGCATCAATCAGAAACCATCCTAGAAGCTGGGGCAGTGGCCTGTACCTGAAGTACCTAGCCACTTGGGAACTAGAAAGGGAATGCTCATTTGTGCCAGGAAAGTTGTGACAATCTGTGACACAGTGGGGCCCATAAAACATGACTTAAGATCCCCAGGGACCCAGGGCGGGTCATGTCACACAGTAGGTATTTAATAATGGTAGTTCTTTATTTTTCTTGGTACAGTCTCCAGGATCTCCACCTACCACGGGTGGAATGAGTCCATGAAGGAGATCTCTGGACAACTGACCCAGCTGAAGACTGAACTCCGTAAGTGACCAGAAACCAGAGGCTCTGAGCCATGTCTCTTGGTTCATTCCAGATCCAAACCCATTAAACATCACATGTGCCATGCACACAGGAGGGACTCCATCTTTACTGAATTTGCACACTCAGTAGGCAGCCAATGATCACAGAGTTATGCACAGAGTAGACACTCAGTGTCTGCAGGGACATTTACACAGTAGGCACTCAGTGTCCGCAGGGGCATGCACACAGTAGACACTCAGTGTCCGCAGGAGCATGCACACAGTAGGCACACACAGTAGACATGCAGTATTCACAGGGGCATGCACACAGTAGGCACTCAGTGTTCACAGGGGCATGCACACAGTAGGCACTCAGTTAAGCCAATCTGCTGGCTCTGTTCTGAGCTCCAAGCCCCTACCTCTCACCATCTAGAAGAGGAAGTGGGGCCAAGGCTCCTGGGTATTAGCTATCCTAATCTTCACAGAGGAGGAACCCCTGACATTGGGTTGTGGCACATGCCCGAAGTCCAAGCTTCTCCGGAAGCTGAGGAATGATGTACCTTTCTGCCCAGGAGTCTGAGAGGTTATGGCCACAGAGTGATACACATCTCAAAAGAGAAATGGCATAATGTCCCTAGGGACCCAGCTCAAATCAATGTTCACAGTAATTGTGCAGTTCCCTCTCTTTTTTCTTGGCCCAGTTTCCAGGAGCCCCAGCTTCCAGGTACAGAATGATTCTAAGCAGGAGAAGATCTACCAGCAACTGGTACAGATGAAAGCTGAACTCTGTGAGTGAACAGAAACAAGAGGTCTTTGGTCTTTCCTGCGGGCCAATTCACTCGAGTCCTCAGACATCTCTGAACCCTCCAGATTAGTACTTGGTGTTTATAGGGGTCATGCAAACAGCGAGCACAAAATGTTCACAGGAACCATTTACAAAGCAGGCACTCGTGTTCACAATGGCTGTGCATGGAGTGGACACTGGGTGTCCATAGCAGTTGAGCACACAAGCAGTTGGTATTCACAAAGGCCATGAACCCATCTCCTGGCCTCTGTTCTGAGCTCTAAGCCCCTACTTCTTCCAGTCTGGAGGAAGTGGGGCTCGGACTCCCCTAGGGTGGGCAAAGGGGCATAGAAAGTGGGAAGGAAATGGTTCACCAAGCTGCTGTCAAGGAAGGGCTCTGGCTCTAGAGAGCTTGAAGGCCAAGCAGGAGCACAGGCATCTGGGTGTGAGAGCATCCTAACCCACTTCTCTAACAGTCCGCCTGTGTCGCCCCTGCCCCTGGGAGTGGACGTTCTTCCTAGGAAACTGTTACTTCATCTCCAAGTCTCAGCGGAACTGGAACAATGCTGTCAAGGCCTGCCAGGAGGTAAAGGCCCAACTAGTCATCATCGACAGTGATGAAGAGCAGGTACATGTGGTGGGGGCCATCCAGGTCTGTCTGTGGCTCCTTGATAACCTGGAATTAAGACAATTTGCCAGAGTTATGTGAGGGGAAGAAGCGTAGAAATGGTGTAGAATTGTGTACTGAACATTTGTGAGTGTTTGGGGGACACCTGGAATGTAGTAACCATAAGTTCTGTGCTGGTCAGTATTTAGCCACCTGCTCTCTGAGAGACAAGGTCTTGATGGGCAGCCTGATTAGATAGCTTAGAAGACAGTGGTGCTTGCCACTAAGCCTCACAGCCTGAGTTCAGTTCCTAGGATCCACATGGTAAAAGGAGACAACTGACTCGCTGAAGTTGTCCTCTGGCAGACATAGCTGCACTATGGCATTCGCATGACCCATCCAAACACACATATAAGTAGATTTAATTTAAAGAAAGAAAAAAAAAGCCCTGGTGTATGGCTGCATCATAATTTTGAGGACCTGAGTTCAAATCCAAAGAAAAAGGAGGAATGAGTGCTTGCTACCAAGCTTAGCGACCTGAGTTTGATCTCCTGGACCCCCATGGTGGAAAGAGAGAAATAAACAACCCCTACAAGTTGTCCCTCACCTCTACATACTTGTAGTGGCATGCATACCCACATATACATATGAATACACACATATTCATGCATATAAGTACATACATACATTCATATATACATACATACATATATACATACATACACAGACACACAACTCTCACACACAATGTGCTTGCCAATTTCCCAAGTATAGATATTCTCACTGGGGGTAATATCAAATTTATAATGGGATGTCACTGAAGAGCAGAAAAGAGGGGGTATACATGTTAAGCAACCATGAATTAGTATGATCTGCTTCCAGCACATTAAAGGCAATCATGAGGAAATTCTACAGACATACTCAGAATTCTTAAGAGAGATCATGCAACATTGGCAGGTGTGTGTAGGGTAGCCAGCTGTGTGTTTCCTTTTTAAAAAATATGGTGGTGTTATTTTTTAGACAGTGTCTCACTCTGCAGCTCTGCTGGCCTGGAACTCACAGAGATCCTGTGGAGTTCTGAGATTAAAGGCATGTGCTTCTATGTCCAATCAGCAGGGTACCACCCTGTGCCAGAGTACATGAACCCATACTCTCCAGATGTAAAAAATAGCTGATGTCATCTAAAGCACACATGGGTGCTCATGACCTAAGAGAGGAAGGAGAAAGATCAGATGGCAAGCTGAACTTCCTGCAAGAGTTTGGGGATGCACAAGCTGAAAGTGGGGTGACTCCCATCCTCTCCCCCTCTAGACCTTCCTGCAGCAGACTTCTAAGGCTAAAGGACCAACCTGGATGGGGCTGTCAGACCTGAACAAGGAAGCCACGTGGCTCTGGGTAGATGGCTCACCTCTGTCATCCAGGTAGGGAAAAGGGAATAACCTGTTGAGTGGAGTGCAAGACAGGTCTTTGATGCTCTGACTTGAGCTGTCTTTGAGCTGTCTCTCTGGCCCCTTGAGAATAAGAGCTGCCACATTTGCTGATAGAAGGAGGTCTTCCTACCCACACATAGACAGAATAGCAGCAAATCCCACCAACAAAGCAGCAAGAAGCTTCCCCCTGAAGAGTGTGGATTTTAATGTCGGGTATTAATAGAAAATATGGAATAAAGTAAGGCCACCAGGTGAGGGGACTATTACCATGGGAAGATGTCATGTTGGGTTAGGTATAGAAGTATGTTTATACAGTAGCATGATGGAGCCATGGGTTCAATCCGCAGCACTGCATAATCTGGTATGGTGGTCCATGCCTGTAACCCCAGCACTTGGGTAGTATCAGGAGAAGGATCAGAAGTTCAATAGTATCTTCAGCTACACACTGAGTTCTGAGCCGGCCTGGACTATATGAAACCCCATCTCAAAAAGGAAAGGGGGAGGAAGGGTGATATAGGGAAAAGAGGGTGGGGGAATGGAAGGTGAGGAGGACAAAAATCGCTTCAAGGGAGTTTATAAAGATGCTCCCTCGCTGGGCATTGGTGGTGTACACTTTTGATCCCAGCACTCAGGAGGCAGAGGCAGGAGGATCTCTGTGAGTTCAAGGCCAGCCTGGTCTACAGAGCTAGTTCCAGAACAGACTCCAAAACAATACAGAGAAATTCTGTCTCAAAAAAAAAAAAAAAAAAAAAAAAAAAAGATGCTCACAGCACAACACAGACACAACACAGAGAGCATGGCGAGAAACCACAATAAGTCAGAATATAAGGGAAGAAAGAGCCTTCATTTTTGTATCCGTGAAAAGGGACAGAAGAGACAGGCTTAGCATTTATTAGCTTGCCCTTAAGGTCCCGATCCCTAGCTGACTGGTGCTTGGCATGGGGCAGGTGCATTGTTGTTTAGAGTGCAAGAACACAGTACGGAAGGAAGAGTCAAGATTGGTGGGTTTACACCTGAAAACCACTCTTTCAATATATAACTAGTGTCAGAACCCAAAGCCACCTGACTCGGGCATGTCCCTGGATTCAGAACAAGGCCAGTCTACCATATGCATTCTGGGAGGATGTGAGACATTGAGTTCCAGAAAGCTAAGAACATGGTTCCCAGCATGCCACTGGGGCAGACTAATGTTTTGTTGACTGACTATCCAGATTCCAGAAGTATTGGAATAGAGGGGAGCCCAACAACATCGGGGAAGAAGACTGTGTGGAATTCTCTGGGGATGGCTGGAACGACTCCAAATGTGAACTTCAAAAGTTCTGGATCTGCAAGAAGCCTGAAGCCCCGTGCACTGCCAGCTGAGATCCAGCTTGTCTCCGTTGCTGCTTCCATACTGTTCTGCCTGCCAGGTGGATGGACATGTCTCACAATCATGCCAACTCCTCTCCCTACCTGTTGGCCTCAGTGTGTTGACAAAAGCACTGCAATTCTTTTTTTTTTTTTTTTCATAAGATTCCTCATCCTCTGTGTGTATCCTGCTTTCATTTCTGTTTCTGTGATAAATATGCTTTGACAAAAAGCACTTACATTCGAGGTGGCAGTCCATCACTGAAGGGCAGTCGGGATGGTGGGAGCGTGAGACAACTGGTCACATCACACCAACAGTCAGGAATAGAAAGAAATACATGCATATATGCTCACTTGCTTGATTATGCTCAGCTCAGTTTCCACATCCATACAGTTTATGACCTCTGCCTAGGGAATGGTGCCATCCACAGTTGGCTGCATATTGTCTGATTAAGACAATTCCCCTACACACATGCTCACAGGCCAAGCCAATGTATGAAATCTCTCATTGAGACTCTCCAGGTGACTCTAGGTTCTGTCAAGTTGACAAGTGAAGCTAACTGTTCCAATGGGACTGGCTTTATGGCTTTCAGGCATCCCTGAGCTTAGGGCTCATGGTTGTCTCTGACTTAACACTTCAATATAATTATCAGATATGGGATGCATTCACAACCTCTGTGTGTGTGTGTGTGTGTGTATACGTGTGTGTGTGTGTGTGTGTGTGTGTGTGTACATTTTATTCCCTTGAGACAGGACTTGGAGTTCACTACTTTTCAGCAAGGCTGACAGCCTGAAAGATCAGGCATCCTCCTGTCTCCAGTCACTTCCCTAAGCGGGGCTGCAGGCACAGGTGGCCATGCCTGGCCTTTTGCAAGTGTTAGGAGTGCAAGCTCAGGCCCTCTTGCACAGCTGTTCTCTTACCCAGCCCTTGGTCCCTTGTCCAGTGTTCCCATTTCCTGATGCTGTAAAAAGACATCCTGACAAAATGCAAGTTGAGGGGAAAGGGGATTATTTGGCTTACAGTTCTGGGTTGTAGCTTATCACTACATGGAAATCAAGGCAGGAACTTGAGGAAACTAATCACACCACATCCTAAAGTAGAGAGAATAAATGTACACATGCCTAGACTTTTCTATTCTTCCACGGTCACCCAACCCTAGAGACCAGGGCTGCCCATGTTATGATGGGTCTCTCCTCAGCTGACTTAAGCCCCTCAGAAATTCCTGAAAGCTCACCCAAAATAGAAAAGCCCTTGATGAAACTCTTCTAGGCTGTGTTAAATTGACAATTAAAGCTAACCATTACATCATATCTCCTCTTCCTTGTCCCCTGAGGTTTGATCCTGTCCCTGTATACTTTCATTGCATCTGCAACTTGTCTTTTGAAGTCCTTTGGTTGGGAGCCTTCCCTGTCTTGTAGTTTATCAGGCAAACTGAAGCATGAAGGAGATAATTCTTCCTATCCACCCCTGACTTCCAAGCATTGTCATACAAATATATCAGCTCAGGAGCTGGAGAAATCGCTCAGCAGTTAAGAGCACTCTCTCCAGAGGAGCTTAGCTCTCAACACCAATGTCTGATGAAACTCCAGCTCCAGGAGGAATCTATCACCCTCAGATGGCCTCTGTGGGGTACACATGTGAATATGTGTGCATGCGTGCACAGGCGGGCTCTCACACATACACACACGCCCTAAAAATTAAACAAAGTAATAAACACACCAGCTCTCTCTTCTTTTAGAGATGCCATGGTGGATTGTGGGAGGATCCCCCAGATTTCTCCTCAGTGGAGAACTGTTTTCCCTGACAATAGGCAGTGTGTTGAAGGCAGCTGCTACCAGTCAGCCAGGAAATGCCTTCTTCAATGTGAGACTCCTTGAACGCTGTAGTCTTTTCTGTCCCTCTTTTTCTTAATACATGCGTGCACATTACTTTTTCCCTGTGGTATCTTGGATGTACCTTCTCTTTCTCTTCAGTCCCAAGTAGTCCTCCTGGTATCACCCATGGGGATTGTTGTGTTAGATGATGGACCTGTGCCTCTAAAATGCCTCAAGATCTAACAGCCTCAGGAAACCAGGCCCCTCCCCCTTCTGGCTGTCCGGCTTTGATGAGAGATGTCATTCTGTAAATATGTTTCTCTTATTGGTTAATGAATAAAGCACTGTTGGCCAAGAGGAAAGCAAGATAGGCAGGACTAGGAGACAAGGAGGATTCGAGGAAGTAGTAGGGAGGAGTCAGCATGGGGAGACTGGAGAGAACAGAGGTCCCAGCCTACTCTCCGGTAAGATGAGACCACGTGGTAATACTTAGATTAATAGAAATAGGTGAATAATAAGACAGAGCTAACCGATTAAAAAACTAGTAACAGGCCAATAGCATAATATCAAATACAGAGTCTCTGTGTGTTAACTGAGGCTGGCGCCATGGTGGGTCCAGGCTGGCAGGGAAAACCTACTCCTAACACAGCTTGGCTGGGAAGAGCAGAACTCTCAGAGGGAAGATGCAATCCCAAAACAAAGGAGACCCAGTCAAGCCTTGCCTGAAGCAGGGGTGGGGTGGGGTTAGGGGTATCCCTAAGGACTCTGGGACTGGCAGAACCTATAAACAAAGTCCCTCCCTACCTCTGCATTCCTGGCCTTAAAAATGATCAAACTTCCGATGCCAGCAAACCATGGATTAGCGACCCCTGAAGAAATCTAAAATTTTTTCATACACTATATTCTGATCTTGTTTCCCCTCCCCCAACTCCTCCCAGAATCCACCCACCTCTCTACTCACCCAACTTGTCATAGCACATAAGCAAAAGACCAGTACGACAAAATAATTGTAAAACGAAACAGTTTGTTTTGTGTTGATCATCTATTTCTGGGCAAGAGCCTGCCCGGAAGTGCAGCTGATAGACACACACACTCCATTGGAGAAAACTGATTTTTCTCTTTGCTAGTGGGTGACAGTTGCAAACACCTTCTTGGTTAGGGGTGGGATCCTGTGTCCACTATCCCCCCTCAATCCTGGGCCGTCATCTGGTTTGAACCTGAAGGACTCTTATGCATAGCTTTCCACTAGCTCCCTGAGTCACAATCGGTCCCTTCCTACATGCACATGTGAATATAACAATCTGATTGCACCATGAATCACCTCAGTACCTGTGTGTTCTCCTCCCTGTCCCCTGCCTCTGGAGTCATCATGACAGCTTTTTCGCTGTTTAAGATGAGTAGTCAGACACTTCATTAGCCTGTTTTTTGTTTGTTTTGTTTTTTAAATGTGTTCCTTTCTCTCTTGCAATTATGACAAGTAGCTTCGTTTTGTTTCTATGCTATCCATCATCTGTATTAACATGATATTCCACAAAAAGCAATCTGTTTATCATAATCTTATCACAGTCATCCTATATCCAATGTATTCCCAACACATCACCAATGTAGCCAACCAATATGTTCCCAATGCCCAGTCTTCAGCTCCAGACTAGATCTCAGAGTGCCTCTGCCATCCCTTGTCTGTTGAGGCCCTGAGCCTATTTCTCCAAAGCCCCCTTCATGTATTCTAGCTTTTTGGTTGTAATTAAGTATCCAGGGCTAGTGAGATGGCTCACTGGATAACATCATTTGTCACCAAAACTGAGGACCTAAGTTCAAACCTCAGGGATCCACTTGGTGGAAGGAAAGAAACTAATTCACCACAACTTATCCTCTGGATGTTTTGCAGCCTCTACAGGTGTAGGAAGGCATACATGTATGCACACACGCCCACACACACACAAGTAAATGTAATAAAGAAGAATAATCAGATATCCATGGTCACCGTATCATTTGGTATTTGCTTCTGAATGACCATATCTTCCCTTTTCTGTTTCAGCTGGAACCCACCTACCTGTGTTTCCCTACCTTGTCTTTGTTCTACAACTAGTAAAAGCTCACATGGCCACTACTTCAGTACAACGTGGTATTTAGGGCAAGAGTGTGTGCTCCTGGGACATGGTCGTGCATATTTGACTCCAGATAGCTTATTCTATTTCCCATTCCCTTCCAGGTGAGTGCTATATTTTTAAGACAACAAAAGTTAACATAAATTTTATTTTAAGTTCATAAAATAAACACACGGCCAGAAAATATACTCACTGATCATGATTCATGGGCCTGCTCTCCAGTGCTAATATTTAAGTGCAATGTGGAGGCTTTCGTGCCCACCTAGACACTTGTATGCACGCTCTACAACACTCCACTAAAAATGACAAATATTCCCATAATATTAGGGTCTTTTTGTACCTCAGCCACCTGGTCAGTCTCTGTCCTACCCATTAATGTCATCTCCATTTCGAATTAATAGTGAAGATCAGAGGCTGGGAAGATGGCTTAGTCAGCAGTGCTTGCCACACAGCATGATGAGCTGAGTTTGGACCCCCCCCCAGAGTAAAAATCCAGGCATGGCAGGATTACATCTGTAATCCCAGTACTGAGGAGGCAGAAACAGGATTTTCAGGCTCACTGGACAGCCAATCTGAGTCAGTGTGTTCAAGGTTCCATGACAACCTGTGAAATGGGTCAGCACAATGGCTCAATGGATAGACACTTGCCTCTAATCCTGATGGCCCGAATTTGACCCCCAGATCCCACATGGTGAAAGGAGAGAACCAACTCCCAGTCTCCATGGGCTTCTTTGCTACCCATGGAGACTATTCCAGTTTGTGAGATAACAAAATTATATTGTCTTTTCCACTCAGTATGTGTTGACCATTAGGAAACTCCCCCCCCACGACTATTTTAAATAGCTGCATGACTATGGGTCTGTTTCATAATCTGACTGTGCAGAAATGGAAAGCAGATCATGTGCTACAACATAGGGGGTAAAATGGGTACATCTGCAGCAGGCATTACATGAATAGGAGAAGGTTGATTTCACCAGAGCATCGAAGTCAGCAGAAATCACAGTGAGTCAGGATGCCAGCAAAGCATGAAAGAAAGTGCAAAGTGGGTGAAGGCTCTCAGCACAAGTGGAAAGGGTACAGCCACCTCAGTGTTCTCTATGGGCTTCTGGCTTTGATAGAAGCACCCCATAAATTGTCACAATTTGAATAGACCAAATCTTCCTGCTACACACCAAAACTTCCCAAACCTCTCCCTAAAATCCCTGGGTTAGCTGGCACCAGATGTGCCATGTCAGGAGTGCATCCCCTCCCTGCAGCTCTTCCTCACTCACACTCAGTTCCTTTTTCTCTTCCCATCAGAATGTCGATGAAACAGGCATCAGCGGACAACAAATTAAAGCTGTGGTCCCCAGCAGTTCCAGACACGAAGCAAGAGCAATGACCATGGGTGACACCACAAAGCCAAGGCTACAGCAACTGGTCACTCCGGGTGAGGACAGGCTGGGACTGTGGGGACTCAGAGGGGGAGTCCTGAGGGGCAGCTAGCTCCTGGTTGAGCCTGCCCAGGCCCTGACTGATGCTCTGTTCCCCCAGAGGATAAAGAGAGCCTGATCAGTGGTACCAGATATTCTGTTATCAGCTCTGGGCTACGACCAGATTTTGGAATCAAAAGTTTGACAGGTACAGCAATGGTGAGTGGCTGAGGAAACACAGACAACCCTTCCCAGAAGTGGGTCCTTGGAAATTGGAGTCAGGACCCTACACTTCTCGGTCCTGGGGAGATGGGTGCTGGGGTGGAACCCTGAGACATAAGGAGGTAGAGGCTGAGAGTCCAGACTCACGTGCCCTGCAGAAGGAGGGTGGTGGCAGGAAGTCTGTCCTGGGCCAGGCTGAGGCAGGGCCACTATGACTAATAACACTACCTTCTCTCCTGCAGAGTATCTGAAGCATAGCTGCAAGCCCTTGGTCCTGCAGCTACTGTCCTTCCTGTTCCTGGCTGGGCTCCATTCTTGGCCTAGGTCAGGCACAATGGAGGCCTCAGCTCTCTGATGTGGCCCTAGAGCCTGTAAAGGAAAGATGGGAGTACAAGTTAGTAACACAACTTTTGGTGGCTTCTAGCAACTTCTCAGAGACATCTCCTTCATCTCTGGTATACCGGAAAGGAGAGCAGGGACACAGGAAAGAGCTGTGGCTTCAGTTTCCTAGTGATTCACCCTACTCTGGGTGTTCAGTTTCCTGGCCTTTAAAGGTTATTAACCTAGGACTGGAGAGTTAGTTCAGAAGTCATTCCAGAGGACCTGGGTTTGGTTCCTAGCATAACCATGGTGGCTCACAATCATCTATAAGTTTAGTTCCAGGGTATCCAACATTATCTCTTCTGACCGATAGATGCCCTGCTAGTAGAAACTAGAGAGATGTCTGTCAGGAAGATGCTTGTCTTGCAAACACAAGGACTTGAGTTTAAAACCACATTTTGAAAGCTACCCATGGTGTTGGAGGCAACATCTCAGTGGGTGAAAGTGCTTGCTGCTTAGGCATGAAGGCCTGAGTTAGAAGCCTCAGCAGCCATGGGAAGAAACCAAGCATGGTCACATGTGCTCCTAAGCCCAATATTGGGCATGAGTACTGCAGACCAGACGGAGGATCCCTGAGACTTGCTGACTGCCATCCCAGTTCCAAGCCCAATAAGAAATCCTCATTCAAAAGAACTAAGTGGAAAGCAACACAGAAAGATACCTAATATCTTCCTACGGCTCTGCATGCGCACTCACGGTTGCAAACACCTGCACACACATATGTACATACACTATACATACACACATGGGGGGGGGAAGTATCGTGCCTACATTTTTTCAAATTTTTTTATTATTTGATATTTTCATAGATGCTTACAATGCATTTTGATCCTATTCACACACACCGACTTCTCCCTTTAACTCCCCCTGAATCCATCTCCCATCCCCTCCCAACTTCATGCCCCCTCCCTTTTTGTGTATCCCACTGGGTACAATATGTTGCACAGATACTCGTGCACTTGGAACCATCCACTAGAGCTTGGCCAGCCTATCAGTTTTAAAGAAAACCATCTTTCCCTCCTCTCCCAGAAGACATCAACTGTCCTAGGACATCATGAACACCTCCCCTCTGCATACTGCAATGTTGGAGAGCTTGATCTTGTACAGACAACCATAACTGCTGCAAGTTCATAAGTGCAGTAGTCTGTTATGCCCAGAAGTACCCTCCAACCTCTGGCTCTCACAATTTTTCTGCCCCCCTCTTCTGTGAAGCTCCCAGAGATGTCCCATTTGGGGCTGTGCATGCCACATACACTTATCCCCTGCACTTTGACCAGTGGTGAGATTTTATTTTAGCCACCATCCACTGCACAGTGGGTGCACACTTCTCTGATAAAGGTTGAGAGTTGCACCAATCTATAGATATAGAGAATTTAGATGACAGTTTGACAGTATTCCCTTAGCAAGATAACAGTAATAGGTTTACCCCCTGGGGCCTATAAGCTCCCCACCCCCGGGTTCTTGGCCATATTTAGAGCGCCAAGCATCTGTTTCCCTGTGGAGTGGGCCTTAAATCCAAGCAGAAAGCAGGTGGTTTCCCCCATAGCATTCATGCTGACGCTGCATCCACAGGTATGTCTTGCCAGGCTGGCCATTTCTGCAGCAATGGTGTTAACTGGATGGGTAAGACTGTTGTTGACACTTCTCCTCTAGCAGCCTGGATAGCACTACCAGGGACTTTGAAAGCTAGTAGACCCTTCTTTAAGACATGTACTGGGGCGGCAGAGACAGCATATCCATGAGTCTTGCTGATCAGCTAGGCAACCTGATTTGATGAGCTACAGTTCCAATGAGAAATTTATCCAAGAAATAGTTGAAGGAGACACCAAATGCTGACCTCTGACCTTCATAATCATTTACACATGCACCCAGACTCACATATGCCACAAATATGGACACACACTCATTCATACAGACAACATATACATACATAATGAATAGTGCTTCCTGTTTCCTTGGTGTTTATCTTTATCAATGGGACATCACCCAGTGCAGAGTTGGACAGGGCCGGTATGCATGTTTAGCAACCATGAACTGATACGAATGCTTCCATCACATTAAAGCCAGTCATGAGTGAATTCCTGCAGATGTTCTCAGAACTCCCAAGACAGAGTCTTGCAGCAGCGCTGTATGTTCAAAGGAAAACAAGCTATGTATGTGTATATGCCATAGTCTGTCTGCCTGTAAGGTGTGTGTGTGTGTGTGTGTGTGTGTGTGTGTGTGTGTGTGTGTGTGCAAACAGCTGAAACCACGTAGGTACCCATGAGTGCCCATGGCTCAATAGAACAGATGGTAGAAGGTCAGATTGCAAGTAGAACTTTCTGCAAGAGTTCAGGGAGATAAACACTCTCCTCCTTCCTCCTGCCCCACTCCAGACCTTCCTGCAGCAGACTTCTAAGGCTAAAGGACCAACCTGGATGGGGCTGTCAGACCTGTATAATGAAGCCACGTGGCACTGGGTGGATGGCTCACCTCTGTCACCCAGGTAGGTAGAGAATGAAAGGTACACTCTGTGCAGTGGTATGGGGGTCTCTGGCAATCTTGCTTGAGTAGCTTTGGAGCTCTCCCTGGCCCCTTAGGAGTAAGAGCTGCCATATTTGCTGATAGAAGGAGGTCTTCCTACCCATGCATAGACAGAATAGCAGCAAATCCCCCCCCCATCAAAGCAGCGAGAAGCTTCCCCCTGAAGTGTGTAGACTTTAATATAGGATATTAATAGAAAATATGGAATAAAGTAAGGCCACCAGGTGAGGGGACTATTATTACCATGAAAAGATTGTGTTAGCTGCTGATTGAGTGGCTGCCTGACAGGTATAGAAAGCCCTGGCTCTGTCCCCAGCATTATATACCAAGGGTGGGTTACATGCCTATAATCCCTGCATTTGAGAGATAGAGACAGGACAATCAGTAATTCCAGTCCATCCTTGGCTACATAGTGAGTCTGAGATAGGTTATGTCAGACCCTATCTCAAAAAAAAGAAAGGAAAGATGGAAGGAAATGAGGGGAGGGGTCACGTGCATTGAGGGAGGATATGAAGGCATTGAGCCTCAGGAAACTGAAAATGTGGATTGTAGCATGCTGTTGGGGCAGACTAATATTCTGTGAACTGGTGTCCTGGTATTTGTTCCTTCCTTCCTCCCTTCCTTCCTTCCTTCCATCCTTCCTTCCTTCCTCCCTCCCTCCCTCCCTTCCTTCCTTCCTTTGTTGTTTTGTTGCTGTGATAAACTATCCTGGAAAAAGCAGCTTAAAGGAAGAACAGGTTTATTTGGCTCACAAGTTCAGGTTACACTCTGTTAGTGAGGGTTACTATTGCTGTGATGAAATCCCATGACCAAAAGCAAGTTGGGGAGGAAAGGTTGTGTTTGGCTTACAGTTCCACATCTGTAGTCCACCACTGAAGGAAGTCAAGGCAGGAACTAAACAAGGAGGGAGTCTACAGGCAGGAGCTGCCTCTATCCATTCTTGCAGGGGAGTCAAGGCAGGAACCAAGGCTGGTCCACCCATGGTCAGGAGCAGAGAGAGAGGATGGCTGTGCTCCTTGACTCATTTCAGGCACCAGCTCATGAAATGATACACCACATTCAGGTATTGTCTCATCTCAATTAACCTGGCTTTTAAAATCTCTCATAGATATTTCCACAGACCAGCCTAATCTTACAGTGTCTAACTGAGAATCTCTTCCCCGCTTATTCCAGATTGTGTCAACTTGACAATTAAAACTAACTGTCGCAACTTACTTTGCAGCTTTGTGCAGAATTGGAATAAAGGGGAACCCAAAAATGTAGAAGAGGAAAATTGCACAGAGTTCTCTAGGGATGGCTGGAATGATCTCAAATGTGATACCCTGAATTTCTGGATCTGTAAGAAAGCTTCAACCTCATTGTGCACCACCAAATGAAAGTCAGTCCATCTCAGCCTCTGCATCCCAAACTCCAATACCGGGTGGGTGAACTCGATTGGTGTCTGTGTCCCTTTTCCTTGTCTGTTGGCATCTGGATGTTCTTTTCAGTCAGATTCCTCATCCTCTGTGGGTTTGGTCCACTGCCTCCTTCCAATTCTGTCCCCAGGTGGGGAGTGGTTCAGATTTCCTGTGGCTCAGGTGTGGTAGCTGTCCCCTACTTTGGCAACTTAATATTGTTACCAGATATAGGATACATTCAGGACCTAAATGCTTCCCCTTAATCAACTCTGTTCTCCTTGCAAAAATCAGAGCATCTTCATTGTGATATCACAGTTGCATTTTCACTCTGATGTCACAGCTGCATTTTTCATTGTGATGCCACAGCTGCATCTTCATTATGATGTCACAGCTGCGTTTTGCACTGTGATGTCACAGCCACATTTTCATTATGAAGTCACAGCTGCCTTTTCCCCTGAGCCTCAGTCACACCCCTGCACACTTCCTATGCATCTGCTCAGTTCCTCCCCCACCTCCCCTGACCCCTTCAGCTGGTATCTTACTTTTCTTGCTCTGACAAAACACTTGTCAAAAACAACTTCAGGAGGGAGGGGTGTGCTTGGGCTCCCAGTGTGAAGGTGCAAATCCATCGCAGGTGAAGGCATGGTTTGGGAGTACAAGACTGCTCACACTGCAACTGTATTCAGAGAGCAGAGACGGATGCTGGTACTCAGCTCACTCTCTCCTTTCTCCTTAGTCTGGGACCACAGATCATAAAATAGTGCCCTCTATATTTAGGATGTGTCTTGCCACCTCAAATAACCAAATCTATAAGCTCCCTTCCAGAAAGCCGTCTCCTCAGTGATTTTTAGATCTTAGTGAGTTGACAATAATAACCACCACAGCAGGAAACCTTCCCTGGTTGGTGTAGCCAACGAGACACCCAAGAAATAATTTCCCCAGTTATTCAGTGAATGTCGAATAGTAGGATACAAATATCCCATTCCCTTTAGCCATGCTGGGTCCTGAGGAGTAACTCTCCCAGCTCTTTGTTCAGGCAGGAACATGTCTCCCAGCTTCTGGAAGTTCCTTTTAAGTCACTGTCACCTTCAGCCTGTGTGTGCCTTGATCTGAGGAGCTGACATCTCCATGTTCAGACTTCTTCCTGGTCCCATGCTCATGGTCAGGACACCAAGGATCTAGACTCGCTGAGCCCTCATAAGATGGTGCTGTAGGGAAGTGTTAGTGTTAGTGTAGACTAGACCACAGCTACAGCCCCTGTACCAGCCATCAGTGAGTTCCTAGACCCAGGTGCCTGGACCCCAGGAGAATCATAGATTCCATCCTCACTTCCCCAAGGAAGTTCACAGATCTCAGGTTGCCAAGATTCCTAAGACATTACTGGGGATAGTGATTGAGACACATCCTCCTTCCCTGGAATTCCCTTCTTCCCACCTCCCTTGCCACTGGCTGGGGAATCAGAGACAACTACTAAATCTTCCACCTTCCACAGAGATCTATAAAAAAATCACACACACACACACACACACACACACACACACACACACACACACACACACACAGACACACACTCTGATTCATGGGCCTGGATTCTCCTTACAACCTCTACCATGTTGTCTGCCTATCTGTGGATTTCAGACCCCAACTCTCCTTACAGCCCTTGCTATACTGTCTGTCTGCCTTCCTTGGCATTAATCACTCTGCCAATAAACATCTTACTCAAAAAGACAATTTGCCTCAGCGTTCCTCTTGGCCCCCACAGGACAAACCTTTCAGAAAGTAAGGACTAAAGGCAGCAGTCTCAAGATTGACTCATAAAACTAGCCTCTGGCAGAGAAAGACTGGATGCCTTTCCCCATGTGGGCTACAGGTGACAAAACAGAGCATGCCTAAGAAAAGCCCAGATACAAGTGACAGAGTGGCAGCTGTGCAATGATCTATAGAGGATCGTGAGCTATTGAGGAGCCTTTCCCTCAGTTCACTGGCCACTCTCAGTCTCAGGAATAATTTCCACTCCTCCGTCAGCCCTGTGTCCCCGGTTGAAGTCTTTGCATTGGTGCACAAGAACCTTTCTGCTTCAGGGGTTGCTCATATGGGGCCCTGTAGAAGCTGGGGTTTCCAACCAGCAGCTGCTCTCTACTGCACTGGTTTGTTCTTCCCACAGCTGCCACAGGAGGCTCACACCTGGGGATCCTCTCCTTCCCTTTTGTCCCTACTGCCTTGCTTTCCCCAGACTTCTACAACAAGAGTGGAGTGTGCTGTACCCTCTCTGTTGTTCTATGGGGTATTAGCTGAATTTATTGGTGGGACAAAGATGCACATACTGGCCAGCAGCCATCCAAGGAGCCAACATTTTTAAGACGGCTAAACCTGAGAGGCCTGTGCAGATCCTCCTCAGCAGCTCACTGGGGCTGGGAGATGTGTGCATCCTGATGGGAAACTATAGCCTGCATTTGTTGGTGTGAAAAACATCTCAAGTTGTTGATGTGAGTCTCATCTCAAGAAGAAGAAAGGGCTCTTTCTGGAGCCATCCATGAACAAATGACCTGGAAACACACATTCAGGTTTCCTAAATTCTGTGTTCTACCATGGAAGTGGCTACATAGATTTTATTAGTTATATGACAAAGAAAGTCATAAATCCAAATATTTGCCAAATATATTTGTGAGGACTACAGTTAGGCAGGTCACACCTAATCAGGGAAACTGCTGCTACAGATGGCAGGTGCCATCTGGTGATGTCCTGGGCTTTGGGAATGAAGGAAGTTAGTGATTTGCTAACAATACACTGTAAAGTTTATAGTCACCAAAGTGTTAGGTCAGACATGGGGTGGCAGTGGATGGTGTATAAAGACTAAAATTTGCCCAATGTAATCTGGCTCTGGTCTGGAACATTTTTAAAATTTATTTAACTTTATTTTATGTGCATTGGTGTCAGATCCCCTGGAACTGGAGTTACAAACAGTTGTGAGCTGTCATGTGGATACTGGGAATTGGACTCCAGTTCTCTGTAAGAGTGGCCAGTGCTCTTAACCATTAACCCATCTCTCCATCCCTGGTCTGGAATATTTTAATTCTCCATAATTTTAAATTTCTGTCATTTGATCTTGTAGAATCTTGAACAAGAGTTGGAGTCCCCCATGTTCTCTCTCTTTTTGTCTCTTTCCTTTTCTTTCTTGGAGCTTCTGTCAACACAGTGAACTGGCCCATGCTTTCTTGGACACTGATCAAGCCAAGATGACCACACCCACATGGTCCCTTGGGACTCCCCAATGCTACTGTGTCCGCAGAGCACCACTATACTGATGGGAGATGTCATTCTGTATATATGTTTCTCTTATTGGTTAATGAATAAAGTCCTGTTGGCCAATAGAAAAGCAAGATAGGTGGGACTAGGAGACAAGGAGGATTCAAGGAGGAGGTAGGAGGAAATTCAACATGTAGGACCCAAAGAGCAGAACTCCAGACCATCTCTCCAGTAAGCCAAGACCACGTGGAAATACTTAGATTGATAGAAATGGGTTAATATTTAAGACAGAGCTAGCCAATAAGAAACACTAGTAACAGGCCAACAGCTTTATATCTATTACAGCATCTCTCTGTGTGTTATTTGGGGCTGGTGAGGCTGTGGGACCAGGCTGGCAGGAAAACCTGCTTGTAACAAAATAGTGCTGCAATGTGGACCGAAGAATATCCACTTAAAACTTAACAAAAGCTTTAAAAGTGGTTTTAGAAACAAAAGATCAGAAACAAGCAAGGCTTCTTGGTAGCAGCATTTTTCTCAGTTGGACAAGGAGAGATTTGTGAGGCTCCTTTAAGGTAGGTTTCCTGACTCAGCATAACAACAAAAAACTGCATGGCTTTTAAGAAGCGCTACTAACAATTCAATGATGTGTATGAACAGCTGGTTTAAAAAAATACAAAAAAAGAGAGTAGCTGAATATGGTGGCACATGCCTTTAATTCTAGCACTTGGGAAGCAGAAGCAGACAGATCTCTGTGATTTCAAAGTAAACCTGGTATACAGAGTTAATTCCAGGACAGATAAAAGTTACACAGAGAAACCTTGTCTCAATAAATAAAAAAAAATAAAACTAAAAGAAAGAGAGTAATAAAAAGCCACATAAAGATAAAAAGCACACAAAGGGTCTGGATACTATATGCTATGATGTTGTCTTTAAATTGCTCAATTACTAAGGAAGAAATAATTCCTACAATACACTTGATTATCAATGCTGCTAGATTAATCCAATTTATATATTTTAAAAATGCTTTAACTTCCAAATATAAGTCTAAGGACAGGTTACTGGTGAAAGGATTTTTATTTTTGTTTCCACAGAAAATGAAAAGCTGTGGATTCCTTCCAGACTAACATGGTTTGATCAAGCAAGACCCCCGTAAACACTGTCCCAGGTGATCCACCATTCAAAACAGCTTGGACAAGGCAGCCTCGCAGACCACTACAGCCAGGATTTCTGCATCTTCTTAGGATCCCCCATGACAGCACCCCCTACCAGCAGGAAGCAGTTTGGAAAGAACAATGCCCAAATTCCCAAATATTGTCTATAAATGTTTTTTTTTTTCATTTAAATGGGCTTGGATGTAAATGGTTAATAATCACAACCAATCTCTTTTTAAAGGTAACAAGGGGATTACAGTATAGAATGTATACTTTGTTTTGGAGTGGATTTTCATTTATTGATACAAATTTAAGATCAATTTTGTGATGTATTTCTCCTCTTGTTTAGGTATTGTGTTTATGTAGCTCATTTAGAAATGTAATGTATAATTAAGTACAGATTATAATTACCTATGATAGTCAAAACTTGGAGTTAAGTTAGTTAGGTTTTCTAGATATACAGAGATAGATTTGAGATAGATAGTCATTCTTCAAACCTTTCAAAGACCTGCATAATATGGCATTTAAGATGGTTTAGGGTTTTTCTTAACAGTGAAGCACAACTGCTCCTGGCAACACCAC